ACAGTTAGTCCAGTATCATCTGCTTTAGCAAAGTCATTGCTCAGGCTGCCCCGAGGGGAGGCTCCTGGCTGGCCCTTCTGAGCAGGGACTAGCAGCTTCTTTTCACGTCGGCATGAATTTGTTGACAGTACTCATGAAAAACACCCAGGATTGCCCTGTGCGCCTCGCTGCAAGCACAGGCGATGCTGCCCATGTACTGTTGCTGCTGACAGGCTCTTAAGCATCCTTAACTCCCGGTGCTACAATTAGAGCATTAATTAATTAGTTACATTCGCAACACTTGCAATTCCCTGGGTTCCCAGTAATGGCCTGCTGAGGTGAGAGAGTAAAGAACTCAAGTTTTTTTGACATAATCAGATTTACTGCATTTTTGACATCACTTGAGTTACTGAAACACATGTCAAGAATAGTTCTGATAGCTGACCAAAGTATTTGATTTTTTGGCAGTGCCTTCTGCATATGATAATAGCTACCTGCTTCTGCAACCATGACTTCCACTGCTTGCAGGCACTATTGTACGAAATTCAAGCCACAGTCACTCCCTCTTCATTTTCACTTGCTTTTAAAACTCAGCACTGGTTAGACTGGGAGGGGAGAGATGCTGGGCTTTCTGAAGGAAGGCATTCTTGAAGAGTTACTGAGTTGAATCTGGCTGTGGGTTTTGTACTGATGGGGATCTGCTCTCTCCCAGGTGGACAATGCTAAGGACTTCCTCGCCATGGGTGGGCTCCGGCTTGTGATCGATGGGCTGAACAGCACCGAGGCCGTGCTGAAGGAGCATGCTGCCTTCGTCCTGGGAGCCGCACTGTCCAGGTGAGCTCTTTCCCACCTTGGGTGGGATAGTGAGAACCTCGGGAAACCAGACAGGCTCTGTGCTTGGAAACCTAGCAAGTCCCGTTGTCTTTGGTCCCATGGGGAGGGTTTTTAGCCCTACGGACACATGCCTCTGACCCACAGGCATAACCAAAAGGGTGTCAGTTAGACACTGGGTTAGGAAAGGGATCAGCAGGCTGAATCAGGACTGGTCTGGAGGACATCTGTGGTTCACTGGAAGGTGGCTGTTGCCTGAGGGAGCCCAGTCAGCCTTGTGCTAGGGCACAGCATGTAGTGCTGCAGGTGGTACCATGTGGGCTCAACTGGTGCCCTTTTTGTTTTGTGGATTTTGGGGCTTTAGGTGTGTGTATTGCACATTCACATGCAGAGAGACTTTAGAAATGCATTGGATGGACCCAGACTTCAGGGTCAGAAGTGAGGTCAGAAGTGCAGAGTGAAGACTGAAGTATCAGCATATTTCTGTGCCTAAAAATATGGTCACCTTCTCCTCCGCTATAAATTATTTAACACTTAGTCTAATCTATAGTCTACAAATCTGCATTTCGTTTGCAATCTTATCTTGCAGTTGTTTTTTAGCACATGTGAATTAACATGACCTCATGGACAGCAGCAGGTACCCAGCTTTTACACCAGGAAAGGATCCAGCTTATAGTCTGAAACAGAGCTTGACTTATTCATCACAATAAGATCCTCTCTTTCACATCAGAAACACAGATCTGCTCTTCATATTCTGGCATATCTTACTCTTTGAAACAATATTGTAATTGTTTCCTTAGGTTCTTTAATAGCATGTAGACTCTTAATTATATGTTTCATAAAAAGAAAATCATGCTGAGGCTCTGGAAACATTTGCAGGAAACTTGCAAAATGTTGAGGGCTATTAAATATCTTCTTTCCTGATTTAGCTAACGTGACGTGATCAAGACTCAAGAAATTCATTGTCTTATGAAATGAGGGTGTAGCAGTGGCCACAGAACTAATGCTTTTGTATAGTATTCCTCACTTAGTTGGAAATGCCTTTCTTTGGACAGAAACAACCCTTTTTCTAATATGACAATATGAGAACGCTGTTTTGGAAACTTTTAGACCTATTTTCTTTAAAGGACATTCTTACAGATGGTAATTTTGAGTGGTTTGGATGATGTATTGTCTGAGAGCTCAGTTCCAAACTGTGAGGAATATTATGCCTGGGTTTTGGGTTTGCATTTTTTTCCCCCTTCGTGTGCTTAAGCTTTCTCAATAGACACCTACATGCCAACTTGTCTGCTTTGTGCTGTCTGCTTAATTTGTTTGTTCATACGTTTTCTCAGCTTACTTGGTGCTCCATTTAAACTGCCGGGGGCATTTCCAGTACTTCACACTAAGTATTTTCTGATGTCTTGTGTTTTTCTGAGGGGTTGTTGTTTATTTCCTTCACTCATGGCTGTTCCTAGGGGCCTCAGTTAGGTGGTAGGACTTTCCAGTAAATGCCCAGAGGTGTCACAGCTCACTGGGCTACAGGGGCACGATCTGATCTGTGCATGTGTACCTGGGGCTGTGTTGCATGCTGAGCCATGCCTGGGCAAGAGGTGGTGGTCTGCTGCTCACCAAATGGGTCCGTGGCAACCTCTCAGGTCTCCTCAGCCAGGATGGCTCAGGCCAGCGGTTTCAAGCCAGGCAGACCTTCCCAGAGGAGAATCAGGGCATGATCACAGCACTGCCTCAGCCAGGCCCAGGAGGTCATTAGCTCCTGGCATAGCTGAATCTGGAAAAGGGTGTTTGGTGTTGTCTGTAGGCAAGTTGTTTTATGCAGGAGAAAGCCACTGGACACTGAGCAGTCTCAGACGTGCTTGGGTCACATCCAGAACTTTTCAATTCTTAAAAATATCCAGGTGTTCTCCAAATTTGTGTTGTCCTTAACTACTCTGATCAGGTAGGGAAGCAGGTAAGGGATGGAGCGACCAGCTGCATCCCCCAGGTCTTGCACGTGGTCCAGCCGGGACCTGGCTCAAATGTCTGGCTGTGCTGGAAACCAATTTGGGATAAAAGGGTTTTCAAGTGGATCAACATCTTGAGCCAACAGACCAGGTGGCTGGCCGCGATGTTGGATCAGCAAAGGCAGTAAGAGGAGAAAGAGGAGGAGGAGAAGACACAGCAGAGATGGCTCAGGATTTCCCCCTCCTATTTATTTGGCTTAAACTGGACTTGAAAAGCAGCCTTGGCATAGGAGAGTTTGGTCCTCAAGGCAAAGGGTCCCAGGTCCTGGCTGCCGTGGTGCAGCCTGCACAAACACTGTCCTCCTGGTATCCATCTGCTTCTGTCCGTGAGCCTCTGCCGTGGATCTGGTGATGATCTGGTATGGAGAAAATCAAGATTTCATCTCTTGTTTCTCTGAAATGTCCTTCATTCTAGGCAGTTGGGGTTTAATCGCTGAGTCTGTGACCAAATCAAACATCACTCCATCTGGTAGAGTTTTCTGAGCGGTGCCCTTGCTGCAACTCTGCAACCTCATCACAGTCTTACTGTTTTTAAACCTTTAACAAAATGTTTTCCATTCAGCAGTTTGCAAAAGTAAACTTCATTTGAACAATCCTCAAGTGCTCTGATTGCAAATAAAAGTTAAATGCACTAACAAAAATAATTGCTAGGCATGTGGGATTGTACATTTAGGTATCCATAATTCACTAACAGTATATGCCAATACACAACATTATCTGGGTTTTCAGTGATTGCATTAGCATAAAAGCATGTTAGCATTTATCCGGTAGTACTAACATTTAAATATATATAAGTATGAAATATTAAGATAGAGCATTTTGGAGGCAAGTAAAATCTGTCCGTAAAATGTTCTTGCATATTTTTGAAGGTACACTCTGGTGTGTTCGGATGACAATCAGCATTCGCACCATTGGGTCCAAACATTGCAAAAATGTCAATGTTTTATGCAAAGAGGAGCTATATTAAGCTAAAAAAGATTGCTGATGAGAGAAGTGTCTTCTGATGTCCTCTAAGCTATTTACAGGCAGCATCTTTCTTTGTTCGTAGCGCAGCCAGGCCTTTGCGCAATTTGTATCTAGACGTTTCACAAGGCTGGGTATGTTAGCCAGAAAGGATTATGCTTGTGATTAAAACCTCAATTTTTAAAAACTTTCCCTCCAGAAAACGTTTTTCCACACCAATAATTTGAACATTTTAATATTTTGTAATAAAAGGATTTTGGTAATCCGTTTAGAAGGGGAATAATAATTTGTCGAATGCATTCTTGAAGCTTTATCCCAAATGCTCCCCATATGTTTAGGGGTGAATTAGAGGTGAGGACGGAGAGAAGCTAAGAGGTGGGAACTTCAAGGCAAAGAGAAGCAGTTTGTATTTCATGGGGAGAGGGCAGAAAGCGCAAGAACTGGCATGGCTGAAGTGGGGAGCCAGCAAGAAAGTTGCTTCTGCAGGTCCATTGAGAGATCTGTGGCGTTTTGGCCAGTCCAAAAATCCCAGGTTCTGTTCAAACTGGGTAGCTGGGGACAGGATCTCAAACAGAAGGTCCCAGCTCGTGTTGCTGTGTGTCCTAGCAGGGCAGTCCCCAGCACTACTGGGATCTCGCTGTTCCCTGCTTTGGCCCTGGGTGATAAAACAAATGTTACAGGAGTTGGTAGAAGGAAACTCATCACAGGTGAAATCTCGAGCATCATCTCATAGCAGCACTCAAGAGTTTCCTAGAGATGGCACATGTCAGGGTGTTGCTTGTCTTAACCATTTCCCATGAGATTAAATCCCTTAAACCTTGATAGTGGACATCACAGACATCCCAACTGCCATTATCCATGGGGGAATGCTGTCTCCCCATCCCTGCTCTATCCATCAATATTTCGATGGTCTCTATTCTCCTAGGGTTCATGACTTCAGTGTTTTATCAGAGAAGCACCAGCTTCTTCAGATGTCTGTCGAGGGGAAAAAGCTTCCACCAAATTTAATGATTTTGAATTAGGTCCAGCTTTGCAGTGAAACTGGCTGATGGTTACTGCTGTTAAATAACATTAAGGCCCAAGCAATAAACCCAGGAAAAGTAAAATTAAAGACCTTGCTTCGTTGCTGTCTTGTAAGGACGTAAGAATTCTGGGCTGAGAAATAAATCTTGTTAGCTTAACAAGCACTGTCCCTACCCATTTATTTCAAATCCATCTTCATGTTCATCCCTTCCTCCTCCAGCTTCTCCTTTTACATCCTACAGTCTTTGACCCAAGGCTTTACCCATTTTCACTCTTTTTTTCAGTGGCCCTGTTCGCCTTTAATGTGTGTTTTGCCACCTTCCAGACACAGTAATTCCAGCTTGACTCCCTGCCTGCGTGTTGTAATTTCTGGCTTTGTAGATTGTCTCTTCTGTTTTTATTTGAACCCTTGACTTGTGTGGAGTTATCAGCCTCACTGCGCATAATTTCAAATTAATTTGATTGGGTCACCTCAATTTTTTTCTGTAACGATAATGAACTCAACCTATTTAGCCTTTCCCCATTATGAATAACCTTAACAAAAACTGCAGTGTGGTTTAAAACTGTGTTTCATCATTGTGGTTAATTACACAGAAGAATAAATCCCTAAACATTTTTCAGCGTCTGAAATCTAACAAGAAAGTGTAATTAACAATTAAATAGTAAACTGCCATCCTTGTGCTCTCAGGAAGACAGACAGAGCAGACCCTGTGAGGAAAATCTAGAAATCAAGGTTTTCTCCTCTTTTTGTTTTTGCACATGCTTTGGTAAATTAATGCTGTCTGGAAGCTGGCAGGGTGCAGCAGTGGAGGGTTGGGTGCTTGTCCTACGCCACGTATGCTTTCCTCAGATGCCTGTATCTGCTGGAGAGTTCACAAGGTGGGATGGACATCTTAGCCTACCCTGTGGGACTGGTTTTAGGCTGAGGCTGTTGTCACTTCTGTAAAGTGGGGGAATTCTGGAGCGAGTAACCCCAACCAGGGGGGCTGAGTTGGGCTGGTGATGAGAGAGGAGAGG